GGAGTAGAAACCCTGTCTTTCTCCCACAGAGTGGTTGGTCCTTTTGAACTGCTGAGCCTGCAGTTAGCCCAGTGCTGAGCACTGCACCGCCAGCGCTCCTCTCTTAATAACAGATTTTATTAAATATTTGAAGAATATTTTAACTATATGTAAAACTGGATCTTTTACATTTTAATGTAATGTTAAAACTCATGGGCCATAGTGAAGTGGTCTAATACAATAGTGTTTGACTTAAAGTGAAGTGGAAATATGTGCACTTCATGCTCTTAAGGAGCTTGTAACCTTAGGAAGGAATAAGACCTAATAACAAGTACACATTGAAAATAGATAAAATGAACTTGACCTCATAAAAATTAAGAGTATCAGAATCTGTTTCATATTATTTCTTCTGAATTTTCTAGAAATCACTTGCTAAATATGGGTTGAGTATAGAAGCAATTAGTTTTGTAGGACGTTCTTATTGTCTTGTGGGAAAAGATGTTTTATAATCTTTTTCTACTTACCATAATGTGTTTTAAAGTGTTATGACTATGTTTTAGTGTATAACATTAGATGCGCTCCGTTTATAGCTTAGAACTGTTTAAATATTAATAGCTGTTAATAATTACGAGGCTGTGGAATACTCAGTAGTTAATTTTCTTTATTTTTATTTTTCTAAAGTATAGTAGTGGTTATGATACACAGAGTTAATAATATTAAAGCTAAGCAAAAATATCAGACTATTTTGAAAAAAATTATACTTTGTTTAAATCTCATTTTGTAATATTTGTTTTCCAAAATGATAACTACATCTAGTAATGGAAAAGTGTGTATTGTAGGAATTCTAGATGTTAGCATTCATGGTTTTTTTTTTGTTTGTTTTTAAGCAAAAGGGAAGAAATTTATTGGAGCCCATACGGGAAACCCTAGAGGGGCCCAGCACACCCTACTGTGTAGGCATGCCCAGCAAAGGGTCACAAAATTCACTGCACCCCCATGTCCCAGAGGGACTCCCCTCGAGCCAAGCCCCAAATTCCCAGGACTGGCTGGGGGTGGGGAAGCATTCATGGTTTTTAACAATTGTTTTGCACCTTGTGAATTCTGTGGTTAAAATTCTTCACTTATCACTATGGTGGTAGGTAGCATCATTATCTCAATACTGCCATTGATGTTACAGGGTTGACTTTGGGGCTCTCTGTAACACAAAGACAAGGTACTCTAGAAATTCTTGTGTAATTTCATGGTTTTAAATTAGAAAATATTTTCTATGGGGATAAAAGGGAGATAGTATTTTCATAGTAATCCATTGACTTTGACAAGATATGAATCTAGGTCCCAAAGAAGAAATGTAGGAGTATTCCATTGTTGAGGAAGCAAAAAGGCTGATTACTTTGAAAAGGGAAAGTTGGAGAGCTTTCCTCGCTGTTTTATTTAGGGTCAGTCTACACTTGTCTGAGGAAAGATACCATGGTATTTTTGTTTGTTTTTTTCTTTGTGACTCATACAACTCTTAACACAATCCATATATACATCAATTGTGTAAAGTCCATTTGTACATTCATTGCCCTCATCATTCTCAAAACGTTTGCTCTCCACTTAAGCCCCTGGCATCAATCAGCTCCTCATTTTTCCCCTCCCTCCCTGCTGCCCCCTCCCTCACAAGCCCTTGATAATTTACAAATTATTATGTTGTCCTATCTTACACTGTCCAACATCTCCCTTCACCCACTTTTCTGTTGTCCGTCCCCCAGGGAGAAGGTTATCTGTAGATCCTTGTATTTGGTTCCCTCTTTCCACCCCACTCTCCCTCCACCCTCCCGGTATCGCCACTCTCACCACTGGTCCTGAAGGAATCATCTGCCCTGGATTCCCTGTGTTTCCAGTTCCTATCTGTACCAAGGTACATCCTCTGGTCTAGCCAGAATTGTAAGGTAGAATTAGGATCATGAGAGTAGGGGTGGGGTTGGGGGGAGGAAGCATTTAGGAAATAGAGGAAAGTTGTATGTTTCATCATTGCTACACTGCACCCTGACTGGTTCCTCTCCTCCCTGCCACCCTTCTCTGTAAGGGGATGTCCAATTGCCTACAGATAGACTTTGGGTCTCCAATCCACACTCCCCCTCATTCACAATTATATGATTTTTTTTTTTGTTCTGATGATACCTGATACCTGATCCCTTTGACACCTTGTGATCACGCAGGCTGGTGTGCTTCTTCCATGTGGGCTTTGTTGCTTCTGAGCTAGATGGCTGCTTGTTTACCTTCAAGCCTTTAAGACCCCAGATGCTGTATCTTTTGATAGCCAGGCACCATCAGCTTTCTTCACACATTTGCTTATGCACCCTTTTGTCTTCAGTGATCATATCGGGGAGGTGAGCACACAATGATATGAATTTTTTTCTTTGATGCCTGATAACTGATCCCTTCGGCACCTTGTGATCACGCAGGCTGGTGTGCTTCTTCCATGTGGGCTTTGTTGCTTCTGAGGTAGATGGCTGCTTGTTTACCTTCAAGCCTTTAAGACCCCAGATACTGTATCTTTTGATAGCTGGGCACCATCAGCTTTCTTCACCACATTTGCTTACACACCCCCTTTGTCTTATGCAATCGCTTTGTCTTCAGCGATTGTGCTGGGAAGGTGAGCATCATGAAATGCCAGTTTAATATTTTTAAGGGACTTCCAAAAATGTTCTGTGGAACATTGATTACTAGAAAATGTTATTCTTTGGGCAGTAGTTTGCAAGGCCAATATTTGAAACCGCCAGCCAGCTTTTGGGGGAAAGACAGAATTTCTACTTCTGCAAACAGGTGCATTCTTGGAAACTCACAGGGGCAGTTCTACCCTGTCACTATGAGTCACCTTCCAATGCTAAAGCAGTGAGTTTGGTTTTAGTTTCATATTTATAAAAAGTTTTATATTTATAAAACGTATCTCTCGAGATTTTTTTCTTCTGTGCTTGTAAAGCTTCACAGTTTAATATTGGGTAAAATCAAAGGCTTTTGATCAGACCACTTGAGTATGATTCATGGCACATAATTAGAGATTTTCCATGGAGAAATCATGTACCTGACCAATCCTGGGTCAACTCCTCCAAAACCAAAATGGATACAAGTACCTACTTTGTGGAATTGTTATGAGGAATATACTAGTGTTCTTTACTCATTACTGTTAGCTGTTTGAGCCATTTTTTAATTTTGAGTGAAATGATGCTCTCTACAGAAAGGGTGAGTGTTGACTTTGATGTTGTGTTTAATTATTAAAGAAGTAGTTAAAAATGCCACTGGTTCAGAAGAAAGAACACTTGGATTTAAATCTGGCGTTATGGCTCACTACTTGCTTGGCCTTGGCTCAGTTATTTAACCTTAACACATAACTTTCTTCTTGTGTTTAAAATAGAAGCATTTACTCTCAAGCATTGTTACTCTAAATACTATAAATGTTATAGCACTTGGTACAGTTCCTGAAAATAAGAGCTCAGTGTTAACAAGAACTGCCATTGCTCTCTGGGACCTCTTTAAGAATTCAGGATTGGTAGCAACTCAGACCCCAAAGTCCGTATTGTACTTGCTAGGTGTCCTTGAGTTGGTTCCAGCTCATGGCAACCCAAATAAGTACAACAGAGCGAAACGTTGCTAGCTGTGCCATCCGCACTGTTAATGTTTGAGCCTGCTGTTGTGCTTCTCTTTTTCACTGGTTCCTCGGTGGCATAAACTGTGCTCTGGCTGCTAGCTTTAAGTGGGTGGTTCAAGCCCACCCACTGCTGACTGCAGAGGATGGCGGTCAGCTTACATTTAGAGTAATGACTACCAAGGGGCACGGCGAGGGAGGGGGAGTGTAAACGGGGAGCTAACAACACTGAGATGCAATTTTGAAATTGATTGTGGTGATAATTGCACGTCTTAATATGATGCATGATTTGATTGTTTAATATGTGAAGTATATATGCCAAAAAAGCTTTTCTTAAAAAAAAAAAAGAGTACAGTCAAGGAAACCCTATAAAACATGTCTACCCGGTAACCTGAGTCTTAATCAACTTGACAGCAACTAACAACAGAAACCCAATTTATAGTCCTAACTACCAAATCACGTTCCATCAGGCCCAGAGGAATATCTCAGTTTCCAGAAGGTGAGACTGGTGGATCCAAATGTATCCAGATAAACTTAAAAGTCATTTAGGGATTTAGATTTAGTGAACACTTTTACTGTATTGGGGCAATGAATTTGCTATTTATTCCTCACCCCCCAAAAAATCCTTACTTTATAAGTAAGAAACCTGAGATTCATAGGGTTACCATAGACACTCAAGTATAAGCCGACCCGAATATCAGCCGAGGCACCTAATTTTGCCACAAAAACTGCATTAAAAATGTGCTGAAAAACTCAGTTTATACACTCATATATATGGCAGATAACTTCTCCAAGATATTATCTTATGACCAAATGACAGAAGTGGGATTCCAAAAGAGATTGCAAAGGTCTGCTAATTCACACTGCTGTGATGACTTCCTATAAAAATGAATCTAATAAACACATGTCTCCCTGGCATTTTATGTAGTAACAGAATAAAAAGAAATGAAAGGGATGTCTTTGTGTGAATGTCTGTGTGCATGGCATAAATATTGCCACATATAACACATTTTACTAATCAATTCTCTAAGGGAATATTTTATTACGATTTATATTTACTTTCAGTTTGGTCTCCAACTGTAGTATATTTGTATGTGCTACTTCAATTCATTATGAAGACAATATTTATATTTCATCCTATAAATCTTTTTGTTCTTTCATGTTTATAGTATAAATACTTTCTGAAAATATAAATCTTACATTCATGTAAATATTTTATTTATATGCCAAATTTTAAATTTGATTAACTTGTAGTATGTTAAGTTGAAAGAAGTTTAACATCTAATGGAGCACGTTTCTTATTTTCCTTGAGGTATTTGAGTTCAGTATTTTTAAATGGTAGTGAAGAAATTTTACAGCCCTAAATTTTAGGTTTCTTTTGTGCTTCTCTTAGATGTGATAAAGGAACAGAATCGAGAATTACGAGGTACACAGAGAGCTATAATCAGAGATCGAGCAGCTTTAGAGAAACAAGAGAAACAGCTGGTAAGTAGACATTAAATTTCAGTTTAACTTTTCAGACAAATTTGGAAATTAGGGTTGGCATAATTAGCTAGCTAGAAAAAAGGCACATGGCAGGTGGTCAGTGATTGACTTGACTCAGAAATGTCTTCAGTGCCTTCCTACATTTTCCTACTTACCTTTGCTTATTGTGCCATTTTGCTGACTTTTATCAGATTCAGTGAATTCTGCTGATTACAGAATCAATCTATTCTTTAGTATGTGAAATTCATAAATGCCCAAGATGAAATGTGCTCAAAACAGGGCAATAAAAGCAGATATAATAATCATAGAAAGCCAAAGAGAGTTATATGAAAATAATTATGTTAACTTATAGGTAGCTAACTTGATGGTTTCAAGAAATGTATGCAATAATGAATGTCATTTTTATGGGCTCTTTTTAGTCATTTGAAGAGTGCTCGTTTTTAAATGTTTATATACTGTTTTAAGCTTATGCTGACCTCTATTACACACAGGTAGCTACTGTCACAATCAAGATTTTGGAACATGCCCATCATTCACAAAGGTGCCCCATGTCCTTTGTAATCTGTCATACCTTTCCTTCCCAGTCACCCATATCCCACACCAGGCAGGTATTGCTTGGTCACTGTCGATTAATATGCATGTTCCTCAGTGGAATCATACAATATGAACTGTTTTATTTTTACTCTGGCTGCTCCCTCTGTTTCAAGGTGATTCAGTGTTGATCACTTGTATCCTTTTTATAAGTGAGTGTTACATTCGATGAATTGCCGCAGAGTGTTTTTACTGTCACCATCCAGTGACATTTGGGTTTTATTTAGCGTTTGATTATTTTGTATAAAGTTGTTATAAACACTCAAGTGGAATTTTTGTGTGAGCATATGTTCCTATTTCTCTTCAGTATTTTCTGCATAGTGTAGTGCGGTGAGTGTATGTTTAACAGTATGAGAAATTGCAAAACAGTTCTGTAAAATGGCTTTAGTTTTTGTTGTGTTATTGTTATTGTTTCCAACTGCATATGAAGATCCCAGTTTTTGGAATTGAAAATCTTCTAGCCATTCTCAGATTATAATTTTAAGTTGCATTTTGCTGATTACTGATGATATTGAACATCTTTGCTTTTATCTATATTCTAAATCCTTTGTTTCAAATGCCTATACAAATATTCTAACTTTTCTTGTTCCTGTCAGACTCTTATTATTGTAAAAATTCTTTAGAAATTTTGGATTGCAATGCTTTATTAATTATGTTTTCTCTTAAGTTCTTTTATTTCTTGTTCTTCCTTTATTACATTGCTTAGAACTTCCAAAACAATGCTGGATAGTAGTAGTGAGAATACATTCTTATCTTTTTATAATCATAGGGAAAGCATTCAGTCTTTCACCAAAAAGCATGATGTTAGCTGTAGATTTTTGTAGATGTCCTTTTTCAGCTTGTGGATATTCTGTATATCTAGTTTGCTGAAAGTTTTTTTTATCAAGAACTAAGTTAAATTTTATTAAAAATTTTTTTTTTTGTCTAATGAGATGATCATGTAGTTTTTTCTTTAATTTGATTGATTTTCTAAAGTCAAACCAGTCTTTTGCTTCTGGGGCAAGCCCTACCTGGGACTGAAGTTTTCTTTATTAATAGGTGTTAAAACTACAAATTCTTTTTTTTACATAAATGTAGAGAAGCAAAACCATGACATGTATAAAGAAAGAGAGAAAATTCTCTCTCTTAATAAAATGGCACACACAGTTGTAGAAACAGACGAGTCTAGGCAGGTTCCAAGTCTGTGGGTCAGCTGGTAAGCTGGAAGCTCCTGGTGTAGCTCCTGGAGTAGCTCAGGCATAGGTGGGTCAATCCAAGATCAGCACAGCGGGATTGCGTCCTGGAGTGGAGAATTCCAAGGTTGGCAGGGCAGTATGCCAAACCATTGACTCATGTCTAAAGAACCAGAGGTGAGTGAGCACATGCTCATTGACTGGATCTAGACCCTGTTATAAAGCAAGCAAACTTTTCCAGAGCATCCATTTATATGTGAAGTAGGCAATAAATACTTCCCCAGTCAAAACTTCTTTTTAATTGCCTCAGGATTGTGACTTCAGTAAGGGGATTGCTTCCCACCCTAATTTTCTTAAAAATGATTGGCTGTTCTCTGCAGATCCCTTGTTAGAGTTGGCAACATTGCGTTATGTCACATCATGGGTAACTATGAAACCTTACTTGCCAAACCACTGAAAATCAGTCAAGCTTACACAAAACTTAACTATCACATACTGTTATCTAATTCCTTCTGTGATATTTTTCTTTAACCCATGATTGATTTATAACAGTGTTGAGTAATTACTGATGACAGACAGGTCCAGGCAGGATCCAAGTCTGTGGAGTCAGCTGTTAAAGCTAGAGGCTCCTTGTGACTGGAGTATTGATGATAGGATTTCTTGTCCTCAAGTCTATTTAGTATGTTAATATGCCACTTCAAATGTATTTTGATAAGTATGTTTACAATATTTTTTTCATGTTTTTATTTGTAATCCAGCACCTCCCTCCTTTAAAGTTGGTTTAGTGAGATAGTATATACTTTAATTTATTTGCTTACTTAATTTGATAATTTGTTTTTCAGTTGAAATATTGGATGGGACATTTCATGTAACTGTATATATGATAATGTAATCTATACTATTACTTTCTGCAGGTTGTAATAGATGTAATTTCTCTTTCCACCACACCCCACAGACACACAAACCATTTCACAGTTTTATGAAGGTCTTTTTTTCCCCAACACCCCCACCCCACCTATGCAAGTCTTAACCTCTTTACAGTCAGGTGAAGACTGGTATTTTAGGTCACTCTCGACCGACCCAGCAGCAGCTCTCCAGCGCACTTCTCCTCAGGGGACCCTTTGGGGATGGACTGCATCTATTTTTTAGAAACACATCACTGAGGACTGCCCTGTAGAAACTGTTTTTTCTCTCTTCTTTATTTTCTCTCTCTCTAGGAACTAGAAATTAAGAAAATGGCCAAGATTGGTAATAAAGATGCTTGCAGGGTTTTAGCCAAACAGCTGGTTCATCTGCGGAAACAGAAAACAAGAACCTTTGCTGTAAGTTCCAAAGTGACTTCTATGTCCACACAAACAAAAGTGATGAATTCCCAGATGAAGATGGCGGGAGCAATGTCCACCACAGCCAAAGTAAGTACAGTAGTCTTTCCGTCTGTGAATCTGCAGTTCCATAGAAGACATTTAACCTTGATCTTCACATTTAGAGGCAGTTATTGATTTCTTCTTGGTTCATTTTCATGTGAATACTATTAGAAGGATTCATTAGTTAATCAGGAACTTTAATTTACAAGAATAATGTTTTTACTCTAAGGAACTGAGTCTTTGTATCATTTTTAAAAAAGAAGCTCTACTTGTTACATATAAAGTACTGGGTAGAATGGTTTCAAACAAAGCCTCTGCCTTTGAGTATCTTACATTGAGTTGATAAAATAAAACTATGTCATTAGTCTGTGCTAAGCGTGGCTAAATGGCAAAGTCTTTTCAATAGGTGGATCAGAAAGATTTTGTAGAAGACTTCCATATTAAAATTCCAGTAAGTAGCAGATACAGGGAAGGCTCTTATATTAATAAGAAGATCAAAAGGAAAAAAAATGATAATATATATCATGAGCGTTATATTACAAAATGTTTGAGAATCCCTTTTAAAACAGCAGAGTACATGGTAATTGCATACAACCATTTTATCAGATACAATAAGTATATCGTGACAATATTTCTTTTAAGAAACAGAGAAAACCTGCTGTCATCAAGCTGATTCTGACTCAGAGCAACCCTGTAATATAGAGTGTAACTGCCAAGGCTGTAAATCTCTATGGGAGCAGAACCGCTGGTGCATTTCGTCCACCAGCCTTGTATTTAATAGCCAAGCGGTTTAACCACAGTGCAATCAGGGCTCCTTAAGAAATATAGACAATATCAGTGTACCTTTTGTCCTGTTCCTAACTTGTTATTGATAGCACTTACTTATTTCATAGTTATACATACACAAAAAAACAAAAACCCACTGCACTGAGTTGATTTCAACTCACAGCAACTCTATAAGACAGATAGAATTACTCTTTAGATTTTCCAAGAATAAATTTCTTGCAGGATCAAACAGTTCTCATCTTTTTCCCATGGAGTAGCTGGTAAGTTTGAATTACCAACCTTTTGATTCAGTAGTCCACAGTGCCCCCGCGGATCTTTTACGCAATCACCGTAAAAGACTAATACTGTATATATCTAACTACGTTTACTCTCACTTCTGTTTCGCAGGTGTGATCTTAGCCAAGCCAGTGAGCCTTCTTTCTGTGCCTCTGTTCCTCATTTGTAAAATATGGGAAATGTTAGTATCTACTACATAAAGTTTTTGTCAGTATTAAATGTCATTTACCTATCATGTTAATATATGTAAAGTGCTTAAATAGTACCGGCATGTTGTAAAATTATGTAGGTATTAGCTGATCTATTAGTAGTAGACGCACCTTTTTATCTGCAGTATCACATTTACAATAATACAATAAGCTCCATTTATAGGAGTATAATTTATACCAATAATTATAACATTTCAGTTAGGGTAAAATTTAAAGAGGGAACACATATTTAATATAGCATGTCAGAAACTGCTTGCCTAAAAAAGTGTCCCCGAAACTGAAACCTGAAATATTCATAGTGAAAGTAGATGGAGAGGCGCCTTCCAGGAGAGAGTCGGACATAAACAGGCCCTGGCAGGAGAAAGCTGGGCATCCTTAAGGACATCAAATGACCCTGTGGTTAGAGCGCAGGCATGTAAAACGAGACTGAAGTCCTAGCCAGAGTATAGTCCATGTTGTTTTCCACCCACTAAAGGCCAGATTGTGGCTTTTAACATTAAATGTAGTAGGAAATCCTCGGGAGTGAGGGATGTGTATAGGGTGTGGTAAATACAGAGATGGAGCGAAGGCTAGAGAAATATCTAGAAATGGTGGAGGGATCACGGTGTGCTTCTTGGAAAAGATTACCTTGGATGCAGATTGAGAAAGAGTATTTGCTTCCTATCTTTGAAAGCTGATATTTTCTTTTATCTGATTTGTTGTGATATAAACTCACTCTATCCATATGTCTGTTTACAAATGAGACTTCTGGTTAGTTACCATTGAGTTGATTGTACTTAAGGAATTCCCCTGTGTAGAGGAAAACGGCCCCATAGGGCTTCCCAAGTCTGTGGTGACCTTCCAGAAGCAAGTCACTGGGCCTGTCCACCAAGGCACCTGTTGATGGGCTCCAACCACCAAGCTTTTAGTTCTTAGTTGAGCACTTAACCATTTACACCACCACGGATTTATATATACCAAACTAGGTAGCCTTCACATTCATCTTGGATTTTTATTGTTTTTCATAGTTTTATTGACATATAGGTTACATGTCATACAATTTCATTTTTCCATCACATTAACAAGAGTTATGTGATTATTACCACAATCTATTTCTTCTCATAGTCATTGTTGTTAACCTCTCATTTTCCCCAACGTCTCCTGCCATGCCCCTAGGTAATTATTAATCTAGTTACCCTCTATAGATTTACTTATGCTAGATTTCATATACAGAAAATCATACAAAAAACCCAACAATAACTAAACAAAATTCTTAATTGAGAAGAAAGCAGAAAATATTAAAAAGTGAAACAACTTTAAGATGGGTTAAAAAGGAAAGTTGTTTTTGTTAGTTTGTATTAGGTGTGTCTCAGATGTGTTGTCATTGGGGGTCACCCTCTTGAAGTTGTGTTAGCTGTTTTTTCTGGTTTTTGGTAAGTGAAACCCAGGACTGATGAACCTATAGGGACAGCGCGTAGCATAAGGGTTTCAGGGGGATGGGGGTGGGGTGGGGTGGGAGGTAAAGGGGAGACTATGTCAAGGAGTCCAAGAAGAAAAAGTATGTTTCAAAACTGATTGTGGAAGCAATGGTACAATTCTGCTTAACATGATTGAACTATGGAATGATATGATAGATGTATTAACTCCCAATCAATAAATTTAAAAGCAACAACCATAAATCCAGGAATGGGTTTTGGGCTCACACTAAATCCTAGCTCCAATTTAAGAACAACTAGTCCTTACATCATGGCTCTGCTCCATATTTGCCCTCAGGAAGGGAACACAGAGTATATGAGTGCTACAGCAAAGTATGGATAAAAAATTAGATGGCGCCCGGCTAGCATCTGGGGTCTTAAAACTTTATCTCCCTGTACACTGGGCCCTCCAAGCTGGGCCATCGTCCTCCGGGTTTGGTGGGCCCGGTTGTGCTCCGCTCCTTTCCTCCTCCTTCTTGTCCCAGCTTCCCTCTGGGTGTGGTGTGGTAGGTCAGCTCCTCTCCCTCGTTGGACGATCTACTTCCATCCTCTGTGGTGCTCCCTTCCATGGTGGGGATCGGGTTTTTTTTTCCTTTTTCCCCTTCGTTTAAATTTTGTTTGTCAGTG